TAACCTTTGCATGGAAGAAGATATTGAATATGGAGTTCATGACTAGTGAATGGGCAACTTGAAATTTTGTATGGGTGATTTGAGATTTTTATGGGATTTGTGATTGTTGATGATTGATTTTGTTCATGTTATACTGAAATCGGTTTATAGATTTTGTAATTTGGTTGGTGATATTTGATATTGTAGTTGCTTTTGGTTTATGTTTAATTGATTCCATGAAAGGGGTTGAAAATGGTGGTAGATTATTGACGATGAATGGTTTTAAGGTTCAGTCTCCTACATGCGTTCGGATAACAAACATGTTAGAACACAGATTGGTGCTTAATATTATCTCTATGTTTTGATGATAACTCTAATGAAATTTTGTATTAAGAAAATATATACTCTAATTTTGTTCAAGTGTTTTGTGTTTCAGATATTAAAATAAATATCATTATGGAAGAAAAATGCATCTGAACAGCAAGTTACGCAAAACTCTGAAGCATCAGAAGCAAGTCATCAGAAGACTCTGAAGCAAAAACTGTAGAAGCATCTGAAGCGTAGCTGAAGATTTTGTATGAAGAGTTTAAAGCATTGTTTCAGAAGACTCTGAATGTACTTTACACTGCAAGCACAGAGGCTCTGATAAACAGTTATGCTCTGACCAGATCACTCACGCTGAAGCACTTTGCTGCAACTCTGATATCATTGAATCTGAAATGAAGAACAAGAAGCACATCAGAGGATCTGATGTTGTTTACATTTGAAAAGATGTCAGCACGTGAATAGTTTTGGTATTATTCTCAACGTCCTCTCCAACGGAACTATTACTTATTTGTGATAGACACAAGGATTCAGGCAAAAGGTATTTCTCTGAACATTCCACTTTTGAGAAAGGAAAAGTCATGTGAAGACAAAAGGCTACAGCTACCCTATTTGCACTGTCTTCAAACATTGGACTTTCAGCACTATAAAAGGACGTCTTCAACATCTCTTCAAAACTAACGAACTACCAACGAATCTATAACAAATTATTTCACAACTCTCATACAATCATTCAAAGCTGAAATAGTTTTATCTTTCGTTCTTAATCTAAGTGTAAAAATCACAGTTTGTGATATAGCTTTTTAGAAGCATCTTAAACACTTGTTTAGTTTACATTTAGTTGTAAAAGGTTCCTTAAGAAGACCAAGTTGTGGTCAGGATTTCCTGAGAAGACTAAGACAGTTGTTCTTAGTGGTTGACACTGTAATCTGTTTGAATATAGTGGATTAAGTCCTTGTGGAGAAAGGCAAATCACCTTGATAGGGTGGACTGAATTAGTTGAGTTCAACGAACCAGGATAAAAATCTTGTGTTGTTTTTATTGCCATATTTATTTTTAAACCCTTATTCAACCCCCCCCCCCCCTCTAAGTGTTTTTCTCACCTTCAAAACATATGTTTCAAATCTTCTATTATACTATATATATATATATATATATATATATATATATATATATATATATATATATATATATATATATATATATATATATACCCAAATTCCCCTTTGCAACATCAAGATTCTCATCCCGTTCACGACCATTGCATTGGTAATTTCCACGTTGTAATCTCGTAAATCCTCCTTGTCACCAATTCCTCTAACGTAACTGACTTCTCACCAAATGTCCCATTGTAGAAAGTTTGTATCCTCTAATTATTTGGGTTTGAGTTTCAACTTGAATTTTTATGAAAAACAAAACCTTCACACCTTAACTCTTGAAATTCAATCCTAAAACTTAAACTATGGTGATGACTTGGATTCTTAAATTTAGTTATGCTAAAACTCCTTTGAATAAAGAAACTCTTGATGGTTTACGACGTAATTCCAAACTTGCGATAATACATAAAACTCTTGTTTGAACAACAAACTTTTCATGAAAGATAGTTTGACATGAACCTTGGATTTGAGCTCTGTATTTTGAATATTTGGAAATTAATCTTGTACTCCTTTAAAATTGGAATTTTCTTGGGTCATGAAACAAATGGCTTAAATTGTAATGTTTTAAATCTTGAATTTTGTCATGCTTTGAATCCTTTGAAACGAACTTGGATAAAACTTCATTCTCTGACACTAGAAACCATCTTTGAACTCAAGACATGTTGATTATCAGCTACCAATCTAACGTATTTCCTCCAAAATCCAAAGGGAACAAATGATGATCTGATTTCCCTGGATAGGAGTAAAGCCCTTCTTGAATTAAGTTTGACTTTTATTGTTAACACGATCAAAGATAAACAAGAACCACGCCCTGGCTCTTTCCGGGAGTAGATAATGTAACTGGTGTACTTGGTTGAGGGTACACTCAAAATCTGACTAAATAACCCTCGAAGTCCTTTTGAAGGAAATCCCTGATTCAACAGTGAATAAACAGAAATAATAAAGCATAAATATTGTTAGTCATGCAGGTATGATTGACCTAGAAATGTTATGTCAGATGATGCACAAGTGAGATCTTAAGGTTAAAAATTAGAGTGTAACACATTCTTATCACTCTAGCATCATTCTACTATGTTTATAGGACAAAAAATTAAGTTTTACTTGGTTGATATTCTCTCTTCTGTTTAACAAGTATTAATGTTCTTATTTAGTTATTCTTATGTTGCACTTTGTCTTATTCCATCTTCTATAATGATTGGTGTTAAGAACTTCTCAACTATAAAACTAATATAATTATATAAATAAATCATAAGAGGGATTTGTATGGGATCCCACTAATTTATAATGAAAATATTTATAGAGAGTCAATACTTCTTTGTAGCACCATTTTTTGTTGTATGGATTTGGCTTTAAATTTTTTTATCCACCTGACTTTTTAAAATACCCTTTATTTTTTATATCTAAATCTAAGGCAGTAATGCATCTGAATTATGGGCAATAAATGTGCTGGTCACAAGAGACTTGTACAAATTATGTGACTTATATTGAAATTAATAGAATATGAGGTGACAAATGAATACATTTTTTTTTCTTTTCATTAATAAAGATTTTAAGACACATTTATAACATGTTTTTTTTCAACTACTCTATTTTAATGATGAGCATGAGGGTATATGAGGCGATGAATGAATGCATGTTGATTAAGGTATTGAGTGAAAGGCTGGACATCTCCATCCCCAATCAGTTTGAACGGCTTTTAGTTTATAGGGAAATTCAATCATCGTATTGAATTGTTGAAATATGGTGTGTTTCATATTTTCTTTTCATCGAGTATATCCAAGTGAATCATATGAAGCATCAACAAATGTAATATAATATGAAAAACCAATAGTATATGTAAAGGGTGCATGGCCCCATAAGTCATTATAGGTTAGTTCAAATGGTGTAGTGTACTATAGGTAAAGGGTGCATGGCCCCATAAGTCATTATAGGTTAGTTCAAAAGGTGTAGTGTACTTAGTAAGAGACGTGTGAGAAGGTAATCTATTAGACTTTCCAAGACAGCATGAAGAACAAAGATCTTCTTGTTATGAAAAGGAAGATTACAAGATTTTAGGACAAATCTTTGAACATCCACACTTGGATGTCCAAGTATAGAATGCCAAATTGAAAAAGAAATAGCATTTATAGTAGAATTATTTACAATTTGACATCTAACTATTGAGTTAAAGAACACTTTATTCAGAGGAAAAGCTGCATAAACTTGTTGGTTTAACATGCTAGAAAACATTTTTTGAGCACTTTTTTGAGAATGATCTCATTGGAAGCCTAGAATTTAACAGAGTAAAAGTTAGGATGAAACTAAAAGAAACCTTTATTATTTGTAACAAACTGACTTGCACTTAGAAGATTTTTAGTGATATTTGGGACATGTAATAGATTATTTGGAATTAACTGAAATTTTGGGTTTATACGAGAGTTAAATGTTGTAGAGCCAATTGAAAGTACAGGCAAACCTTGGCCATTGCCAATTATGATCTGTTGGCCTTTCAAATGGTGATAATTGTTGAATAGAAGAGTTTCCACTTCTTCAATGGAAATAGAACCAACCTCTCCACAAATAAGAGAAATAGTGGACTCAAATTCCTTAAAAAATTACATCCAAGTGTTTCACGTGGTGAGATTGGCTCACCTATTACATGAATTGAAGTGGTGAGGGAATCAATTAGTTACAAGCTGTTAGGTCTGTTCTAGCTTGTAACTTACGTATTAGACCATTCAATTACATTTAGTTACAAGTTGTTAGATTTGTTTTAACTGACTATATTAGACAGTTCAGTTACATGTTAGTGTACATAATCATAAGCTCGTGTGAGTTTATTTAATAAATCCTACAATATTATATAATATAAGTAAAGAGGAGTTAAATTGATTTTTGAAGAGATTGTGTTTACCTTTACTCATATTATTGAATCAAACATCTCAAATGTAGACGACTTGTATTTTAACTCAACAAACTAATAACATTTAAAACTATAATGCTTTTCAAAAGCCATTGAGAACAATTTATTTATTTTAAAATTTGTCCATATTAATATATAAAAAAATAAAAAAAATTCTGAGTATAAACTAAATCAATATCACATAACAAATTTTAATATGAATAAATTCTTCAAAAATCAAAACAAAACACAAGATTTAGTTTTGTTAAGTCTCTTAGTTGGTATTTGTGCAGGAATATCAGAGGTAGAAGCGAAGGTTCAAACCCGCGACATCCCACTTGTTCACATTCAAAAATGATGAATCTCAGTCACTAGACTACTTGACCAAAAAAAAATCACAAGATCAAAAAAATATTTGCAAAAAATAAAAACTTAAGAACATAAAAATCACAAACCTATTTCAAGAAATATGTATTTAATGTCACAAGTTTACAACACATATTTGATAATTTTGAGTTACTATCATAATAGTTGACAAAAATTGTAAGAATAAACAATCAAATTTTTTTTGGAAAGAACAATGATAAATATCATAGATTGCACTTGTGGAAATTAATCATACAATATTTACAAATCGATCATACAAACAAGACAGAAAACTACCGAGCAAGTTCACTTATTGGAGGCCGGTCCATTATATCAGAAGCAGCCCTTGCATTCCGCTGCAACAATGGATCAATATCTGGCAATTTAGGAATCTGAACTAACAAATCAATGGTCCGTCGAAGGAGCCGAGCTAGATCACCATCATCCATTGCACAATCCATCATTATTTCTCTCCATGTCAACCCAGAAGCCCAAGCTTCAACCATACCACAAAATTGGCTATCCAAACAGCAAGATATTGTCAGCCCATGCTTCTCCTGAATTGCCAATAAGGCACTCCTTTGCTCATCCAATAACTCTATGACATTGACAACAGTTGCAGAAGGCTCATAAATGTAATTGTTGTTCTTCGAAGGTCTAACTTTTATACCCTCGGACACCAAACCTGCACACAGTCCAGCAAGTTGTGCAGGTTTTAGTTCTAGTAAAATTTTACTGCGAAGAACCATTGCAAGCCAGAGCTCATTTTCTCCACGGATCGCTGAAGCAGTTTCTCCCAGTGGAAATATGACATTTGTGTTAATATCTAAAGCTCTGGTCTCACGTATGACATTGCTAACCTGCATAAACACCTTCCAACCTGAGGGTTCAATTTGTTCTATACGATTAGTCAAACGTTTGGATCTAGTCTTCATTCGCTTGATTTTCTCCTCGATAAACTTGGCCGCGTCTAGGATTTTATTATATTCTTTATGGCCTTCGGTACGAGACATCTTTTTTTTCAAGCGTGCAACTTTATGTCTTTGCTCTCTGTATTGTTCAGCTGCGTCTCTGTATGCTTGAGACTTCAGTAGCAGCTCATCATTTTCAGAGAAGCTACTCAAAACAGGAACATTTAAACTCCAAGACCATGTTTCCAGAGATCCTTCTGTGAACCATAAACCACCGTGTTCAGAGTTGGCAAGGTTATCCCACTTCATGTCCTGCTTATCAAGGAGATCGCTCATAATTTCTCGAGGTCGGGTATCTCCTTCAACTAATGGAACATCAGGAAGTCCTGTCTCATAAACTGTTTTAATCCATCTATCTGTAAATAGATACCAAGAGTTATCTGAGCCAAGAGCTACGTGATATGATGGTACGGGATCTTCTTTCAATTCAGAATCTGCATCAGCTGAATTTAATGCAAAAGTATCCACAGAACGTATCATGTTTTTTAGTTTTGAAGCACCGAGGGAGTTAACCTTCCCCAAAAGTACAGCAGGAATTGAATGTTGAACTCCTTCAGAATCTCTATACTGCAAGCACAAAAATGGTAAATGTCCATTTTCAGACTCTTCCAACAAAAGTTTCAAGGCAGATAATCCTGCTGCTTCTTTCTGTTTTCGCAATTCAGTCCGAACACGTTTCTCTGCTCTTAAATTTCCTTGTAATTCTGCAATCTCCTTGTATTGTCGCTTTGATAAAGCCTTCCTGCTTTTTCTATCTATGGCCTCATCAGTGATTTCTGACATTAGCAACTCAATTTCTTTTTCAATCTTATTAATTTCCTCTTTAGCACCCAGCATAACACTGCTACTAACATAATTTCCAAAACTTTGCTCAATTAACTTCCTAGCTTCATCCAAAGTTTTCCCTGAGGAAAGTTTTGTCTCTAATGTGTTTGACCTACGAATGGCTTTCCCACCACCAAGAAGATTCAAAACCATTCCATATGAAGCAGTAAACTGCGACACCAGAGGCTCAAGTCCAGAAAAAAGTACCTTGCAGCACTCTTCGGCACCTTCATAAAGATTTTGGACTAGGACTACATGACCCCTTTCATCAATGCCTCTACGTCCAGCACGCCCAGCCATCTGAAGCAGTTCATTTGAGGTCAATAGGGTGCGCCCATTATCACTTCTTTTGCTGAGAGATGCAATAACAGCTGTTCTAGCAGGCATATTGATTCCGGCAGCCAGGGTTTCTGTAGCAAAAACAACCTTGACAAGTCCTTTTTGAAACAATTCTTCTATGAAATCTTTCCACAGAGGTAGACATCCAGCATGATGCGCAGCAACCCCTTGCAAAAGTCCTTTCACAGCTGTATCTCTGACAGCATCAGGATACTGAATGCGGAACCTCTTTAAAGCTAGTTGAACCTCACTTGCTTCACACTCATCTAAAAGTTTGAACTCTTCAACATGTTGCACAGCTGCATCACAACCTTTTCTGCTAAAAATAAACCAAACAGCTGGAAGCATATCCCTAGACTGAAGGTGCAATAAAGTATCGATTATTTGAGGAACCTGAAAAAAATTAAATACTATACTCATCAACAGTATGCTCATTACTAAAAATACAGAAGAGTCTTAGCTTTCAAACAAAAATGTGTGCATTTTTAGCCCAAATGTGTATCAGAGCCCACACCACGTATTTCAATATCCATGGTGATTGTCGGGCATATAAATGTTGCCATGTTATTCCCATTTCAAAAGATTTTATGTTGTGAAGAGATATGAAATCAATTGCTACTACGAACATCATAAAGTGCAAAAACAAATGAGAAAATTGATTCAGAGGCCAAACTTGTGATCGACGAATCGCATTTATGTCATTCTTTGAAAGAGGGCGATGTTCCAACACGCTATCATCATTTTCATAGCTTGTGCGAGTTCCACGTTTCTGGGAATTCCTTTTTCTAGGCCAGTCATCCTTGTAAGATTCAGCTCCTGCAGCTTGAAGTTGTAAATAATTGAGTGATAGTTTCCTGCATTACATAAAAGAAGAAAGACTTAGTTTCCATTTTGATTTGATTCAGTTATAAAACGGTGATAATCATATTTCTTTTGGAAAAACACTGAATACTTGTATATTCACAAAAACTGACTTATCCATCATTCTATTAAAATTCTTACAGTTATTACTATAATTATTATTCTAACATTAAGCAATGCAAATGAGTAAATAACATTCATAATCAGTATCATCACTACCAGCAACAATTATGCTGCCGAAGTTGGTGATGTTACAGTAGTCTCCACCACTTTAACCATCAGATTATTGTTTATAGAATCAGTACTGCGACAACCACACAACATGGTATGATAAATCACATTAATTAACAATACCAGATCCATACTAACTAAATTTGGACTCTTTTTAGCCATTTAGAAAAATAGGTTTATTGATATCATCCCTTGTCTTAATAGACCAAAATCAAACTAATAGAATTCCTGACCAATTATTGAAGCATACAACACAGAATATCCAAGAAGTCAGTGCAGCCATATCCACACTAATCAGAGCCCTCTTAACATTCTTTACTTGCTGCAAGTCCTAACAATAGTAAATATCATCTCATCTATTGACAATTAGTGTTACTATGATCCAGAAATGCTGGGATTACAAAATAATAGTCTCCCAATACTAACAACTTCTCACATTTATAAAATCAACTAAATTTAACAACCTATGAAGCACGGACTCCGACATGGACACGGGACACAACACAACACGGACACTCCAACACCGATAATATAAAAAATATAAAACACCACCACTACATATATGTCAGTATTTGCCCTTCATTTATCCATCTATAATTAAAAGAGTTGAAAATATTCTAATTAAAATTATGTCTTGGATTCTTCATTGATTACTTTGCTTCAATATATGTTTAACCATTTTAGATATGGGTGAGGTTTGTCAAAAAAATGTATAAGGTGTGTTGAAGCAAAGAAAAACTTGTCAGAATTGTCAAACATGTGTTGTATGAGTGTTATACAGGGGTCGGACACCGATTCAAAGAGTGTCAAAGCAAAGAAAAAAAATATGTATTGGGGGACACTTGTCTGACTTTTCCGGCACATGTCATACGGGTGTCATACAAGTGTCAAACACCAATGCATGTTGGACAACGCAACACGCCTACTCCTAGAGGTGTCCGTAATTCATAGCTAACAACTCAATTCTCTGGATCTTGGAGATTTATAATAAGTTTTATCACAACCATCTATTTTAAGCTCTTTTGCATGCTTGTAAAGTAGTAAGTGACAAAAATTCAACAAACGGAACTATAAAAAAATGTTCAAATAAAGATATTATCAAACTTCATGTTACTCAACAAATCAACCATTACGAACCCTGCCGAATCCATAAATAAACCACAGAAAATATGGAAAAGAGAATATATTAATGGACTGCCAAATACCGCCTTCAAATTCAAACAAGTCTTTATATTAGCAATATTCAATTTTTATGAAATGAAAATGGGTGTGACTGCAAAGTGAAAACAAATACTACTCTTTATATTTAAGAAATGCTTCTACTAATACAAAATATATTAAACAATGAACTAAACTGAATAAATACAGTAAGGATCCTAGATATCACCTGTTCATCTGTGTTTCTTTCTCATCAAGAAGTGGTAATAAGGAATTCTTCAAAGAGAAATGCCAAGTTAGAGGAACTGGGCGTTTCAACGATGTTACCAATTCTGTTCCACCATGAATCTGAAATAAAACAACATTCAATTTACTACTTGAATATATCATGAATATAAAAGCCAAAAACATTTTGCAAGATTGCAAAAAGAATTTAGCTTATATAAACTACCAAACAAAATGAAAGACAGATTTAATTTATTATTTGAATTCTGTCACTTGGGATAGTTTCATAAGTCAATTTAGTGAAGATGCAACAGTAATGAACTCAGCACGTTTTGTCAGCTTATGTCACATGAAAATGTAACCAGCAGCATCAAAGAAACTCATTATTATCAAGGTAATTTTACATAAAATAAAGTAATGTAGTCTAGTTCTTTCTCTTCAATTATATTATGCAAAATTTTCTGATAAGTAAAATCTGATACCAAAAATTGCACAAATATGAGGTACTTGAACAATAGATAGAATGTTTCAAAGCCCAAATTGTCCAAGTCAATCAAGATGATCCAATTTGTAAATCTCCTTAATAAAAGCCTGATGTTTGGTAAAATTTCAAAAAAAATATCTATGACAAACTTTTGGATGTTTCCAATTAGAGTGGTTAAAATACTTATTGGCTCCAAACAGGAAATAAAAAAGCCACCGATGGTGATATGTTGTCATGTTCTTTATATGTGCCCGAAATTACATGCTTGATACTAACAAATTCTGCAACTGTAATAAACATCACTAGCACAATCTTAATACCTGACCAATCCAACCAGCCAACTCATCTGGATTTGCAACTGTTGCTGAGAGACAAATAAGCTGAACTTCTTTTGGGCAATAAATAACCTGCAGCAGTATAAAAATGCATAAAAATTAGAAGAAATTGAGCAAGCTAAGTCATGCGCAAAGATGGCAAATCATGAAAGACAGTAAATAATGCTTACAATTTCTTCCCAAACTGTACCGCGATATATGTCACTAAGGTAATGAACTTCGTCCAAAACAATCACATCAACATTGACAAGTCCACTTCCAGAAGAAGCATTACCAACACTGCATGAAAATTGTAGCAACAAAATGATTATCGAGAAAATAAATAAAGGAGATTGGATTTAATAATTTACTTAATATGAATAAAACTTCAGGTGAGAATAATTATGACATTGCCATAATCAAACTACAAAAAACAAGGTCAAATGAAAAATGAGTTTAACAGGCAAGACCACCTCCTCAACCTCTAATCCATTGGACCTGTGAAGCCCCCATACTTAATACTTTACACATGAATGCAATACAACAGAAATGCAATGATAAAGAAAATTCTTAAAATGAGAAGATACAACACATGTTATATATTTATAATAAGACATTGATATTACACAAAAATGTACAATTTTACATTACATAATATTCATAATAAGACATTGATATACTACATTGGTAGATAATGATCATGATCATAATTTAGAAAAAAAGATACTTGTAAAACATAGATAGACCCATATTTTTCTCTTGTCCATATTAAAATATCCTCTTTTCCTTGTGAACATGTTACAAATGTAATTTTTTCCCTAAAATTTCAAAATGGCACAAAAAACATCATTAGTCCTATTTATAAATCATGACCCTCCAAAATACCATTTCTACAAATAGCTCTTAATACCGCATCTCTTCCTAGACAAGGACCTTTTATTAAGACTTCTACTTATTGCAAGCCAAGTATAGCTTCTAAGTCTAATACATAAGAGGCCGTCTTGACAATTCAAGAAATCCATTCATCATCAAGTGGATCATGTATATCTTCCCTAATATCAAACCACCAACTCTCCCCTCCTATACCCTATATCCCCACAGCACAGATAAAAGAAACATATACTCCAATTTGCTCCCAACATGAGGAAGAACATGTTTGTAAAAACTTTAAAATATACGTAAAGGAGTTGTATATTGACACCATAAGGCAAATGTATCATTCAAAATTTCCAGAAGGAAATTAAAAGAATTAGAGGATACTCCTTGGATATAACCCCACGTTTTGACAGCACATTAGCAAAAAAAAACAAGGCTCAAAAGTTTAGGATTGCTACTTTGTTCACAAAAAATGTCTTGTCTTAGATAATAGATCCAACTTTCTAACGTAATGCACCTTTGATACAGCATGTTGCGTAATATCTCTGTAGTCATAATCAAAACCTGAGCCTCCTTGTTGACGGCAGAATCACCTGTAAGAAGGCCAACATAGTTGTCGCCAAAAGTTTCCCTGAAAATTTACAATAAACCACCAACTAAATCAAATGCAGATTCTAAATGAAATGCAGACTCTAAGGGATATTTGTCTTATGTTTTCATTTTCAAATCAACTGATAAGCATAAGAGAATATAGATTCAATATCTCCCTCACCACTTTTTTACAATATGTTTTAAAATGTTCATAACATGATATTTGCATAAAATGCTATTCAATTGTTTGTCACATACCGGAATTCGCGAAACTTCTGATTCGACAACGCTTTAAGAGGAGTCGTATAGAATAATCGCCGTCCTCTAGCCACTGTAGCAACAGCCGCAGCCTCCGCAATCAAAGTCTTCCCGCTACTCGTCGGAGCAGAAACCACCACCGAAGAACCTCTCAGAAAAGCTTGAATAGCTTGCCGCTGTCAAAAACAAGTTCCAAAATCCAAAATGCACATAATCAGAAAATGAGTCCTAAATCTAAAACCTCAAAACCAAGCAGTTACACGAAGACAAAAACCGAACCTGAAACTTATCGATTCGAAAATTATAAACGGAAGCAAGTTCATCAACGTCAATAATTCCAACACCAAACTCTCTCACTTCATTACAAAGCTTCTCAACTCTCTGCCACTTGAATCCGTCATCACGACGAATCAATTCATCGGCTTCAAACGTTTCGCCTTCGTCGGAAACCTCACCGGATACAACGTCGTCGTATTCATCAGCAGCAACGTCCTCGTCGTCGTCCTCTTCTTCTTCGTCCTCGTCCTCGTCATCTTCGTCGTCGGCATTGAATGTGCGGATAGGTGAGGTTGGGGACCTGAAGGAGAATTTGAGAGAATGAGAAAAGGAACGATGGCAGTGGAGAGAGAATGAGAAAGCAGTTGGAGTTGGGAAGAGAGAGAAAGAATGGTGGCCAGGTTGAAGTAATGAGAGGATAAGTTGAGTGTTGGTGGTGATGGCCATGGCGGGAGATGGCGAGATTTTGCTCTAGGTCTTGTTTCTTTCATTTTAAGAAGATTTTTTTTCTGTTAAGTGGATAAAATCAAAAGAGTTCTATCACAATACTCAAAGAAATTTTTTTTAGGCAATTGTAAATTAATTTAAAATATTAATTTATTTTTAAATAAAACATATATAAAAAATAATGTAAATATTTTTTGGATGAAAGTGCTAAAATTCAATTGAATTTAAGGATATTAGAGTATTCACTTTTTTTATATTTTACAGTTTATAAAACTATAATAATTTTTTAAAAATATATATTCTAATTTGTTTATCGAAAGTCTCTAATAAAAAAATTAAAATTTGAATTTTAAAAAAGCTTTGTTAATTTTGAGTTTAAATTTATATGCTAAAGAAATATGAGACTGTAAATACTTTTATCTATTTTAAAAATATGAAGGGAAAAATATTAGCAACATAATGTACGAAATTGTAGCTTGAATTCGGATTTTCTAGAATTTTGTTATTATATGTTAGTCTTAATTTTAACTTTTAAATTACATTTTACACATATTACTACTCTTCTAAAATATATTTTTTTATTATCTATCAATTATTGAATTTAGAGCACGATGATAATATAGATTAAGGTTGAACAAAATAAAATAAAATACATTTACAACCAGATAAGATTAAGGTTGAACAAAATAAAATAAAATTGATTTAAGATGTCCGAACTGATGGCCTCGTAGACCGCGGTTAAGTTAACCGATTAAATCGGGTTAGGCGGTTTGAATATATATGATTTAAGATAGTTATTACAAGTCGGTTCTCAGCAATTTAATCCACAATAAACTAAAACCAACACAATATGAAACCCTATATCTTAACTTTTGCGTCGTCACTTTCTCATTTTCTCTAGTTTTTCTTTCTTCAATTTTGAGTCTCTCTCAAACCAAAGTTCATGGTGTTAAGGTTTATTTTTTTCAAAAACCTTTCTTCATAATCTCAAATCTTTGCCTTGAAAACTCAAAACTCCAATAATATTCAAGATTTCTTAATTTCATTTCCTTTTTAAATTCATAGCCTAAATTGAAAAACAAAATTCTTATCAAGATTTACGGAACATACGGAATGAACGATGCATCTTTTAAAAAAATTTCTGCAAATTTTAGGATACTTCTATTGTTTTGTGTCCATTTATGGATATAACGATTTTAGGATTCTATTATGTTCTTCTATACTCGTAAATGAGATATTTAATGTAATAGTTACAAGTTAATAACATCATTTAGAATAATCAACAACATATGCATTATTCCTTTTCAGCTTTATGCAAACAAACGAACCTAATTTATTTGTAACAGGAAAATGGAATCACACACTGAATAAATGGGAAAAAAATACTACCACATCATGATTTTTTATAATTAATTTGGTGATAGTAACATGTAAATAAATGTTAATGTTAAATTTTTGGTTGTTTGTTCTTAGTACCTTTCCGTATCTCTAAAGCTTCATAAAATATATATTTTTTTCCATCATGACATGCTTCTTATACCTTTTCAATTTTTTTGATTAATAATGTTAACTAATATTGAGTATGGTCATTATTTTAGGTACCTAATCAATAATATTTAGTTGTTACTACTGTTCTGGAGTGGGTCCAGACCTGCCCATCCGTCGGGCAGGCCCAGCCCAACGCTATTTGGGGAAGACCCAAATCTCCAATGTTGGGCACAGTTCTGGATACACCGGGCAGACACAATTTCCGTCGGACAGAACAACACGTCTTCTCCACGTTCTCCACGTGCTCCCCCCACGGGGACACGTCATCAGGCAACTACCCACCTCCGAAAGAGCTGGTCAGCCCACCTTCCGGAGATCACGGGACAGTTGAACTAAGGCAAATACCACGTGCTGGTCTTCACTACGCCACGTAAGCCCTAACAGTTATTTAGGTTGGGCCTGACAATCCAGTCCAACACAAGTGACTGTTGGCCCTGTGCTGGGGTCTCACTATAAATACATTCTTTCACTAGAGAGTCAGGTATTCTATTCTCTACACCTAACTTCTGTATTTGCTCCCACTCTGGCCCTTTACTCACTTAAGCATCAGAGTGTCTTGCAGGTACACCCCCTCCTCCTCCCTACTTCCGGTGAGCAGCTCTCAGATCATTGACGTGTGGCAGTCGATAATCTCTTCTGATCAGGTACGACCAACTACTGGTATCACAAGAGACATAGTGTCAAAAGTGAAATTGACATTTGAGACTGAGTTGGGCTTGAAACTAGAACCATGGCTGGAGGAGAAATGGACAAAAGCAAGTTTTGTGGTTTTTGTATTAATTTTTATATTGAGCAATAGTGAGAATATACCATGAATACATGAATATGTCATATTTTGTGTGTTTTGTGTTTGTATAAATTTGTTTTACTTGTCTCAAAACAGATAAATTATTGTTAAATTCAATTTTAATTAGTTTTATGTTTCATCTTTTATGCCTGGATGCCACTATATGTAATTGGGTAGTTGGAGGTTATTACAGCATCAATTTATTCTTGGTGGAAAAGTAAATATTATATTTCAGTTAAGAAGATGGTTAAGTGACTAGTACAGAACACTCATTTGGATTGGATGTTGTGTTATGTAGTTTAATTTCCCTTTACAAAAATGTATGAAAATGATGTGCATTTATATATAAACTTGATAAATGAATGAAATTTTGTATTTCGTGGCAAACACTAAATGATACCAATGTTGCAAAAGTTTTTTGATTATGGAAGAATGAATTTGATTATGGTGCATGTTGATGGCAGTTGCTCAATTAAGCTTGTGTCTCTAACCAATGTTGCTTTTAAGTTCTCCAAATCCACCTTAAATTAATTATGTAAATGACTTGATTTAAGTTGTTTTAAGTATTTGTGAAGATCATTTTCTTTTCTTTTTTTGACAGATTTATGTGGTTTTTGTAGAACACGTGTAGATCAATTATGTAAATGACTTGTAAATTGTGTAAATAATATAAAATGTTGTATTGTGATTTGCATTATATTATGTCAATGTATATTATGTGATTTGCATGTTGTATGTTGTGGTTTTATCCTAAAGTTTTATTCTATTATTTGTCAATTTATATTATATTATATTGAGAGGCTATATTTTGATTTGTATGTTATATTACATTATATTTTATAACTATTAGGTAACTTTGATCTTATATTGTACAAAAGTTAGTGACCTTGTGACTTTGTGCTTTATATGAATGTTTGAATAACTTGTAATATTGTAAGATTACACATTGTATGAATGCTTGAATGGCATGTAATATTGTTATATTATAGTTTTTATGAATACTTGAAAGTCCTGTATTGTAATATGACATTTTGATGGAAGTTGAATAATTTTTAAATTGTGCAAATGATATATTAGGTTGATGAAAAAAATATTTTAGGCCATTTAATTATATATTTAATATTGTTTTATTTCAAAGTATTAAAATTAAATTATCCAAACAAACGGATCTATTTTAACCAACAAACTGACTAAATCAAACCCGATCAAATCGCATATTAATTCGGTCGAAATTGGGCCTAGCAACTGAATTCATGGATTTGGTCGATTTGACATATTAAGCCCGAGTCCAACCCAAACTGACTGATGTCCAACCTTAGGATAGACGAATCTATTGTGATCATTAATAATTATAATCTCTTCTCATCCTACCTAATCGATAATTATGGTCAAGATAGTCTTACTTTACTAAATAGTGACATTCAAGTACTAGTCATATCATGGACGATATGACGATTTCCCCATCATATCTACTATTGATTCTACATATATTATTGACATACAATGCTTGTCTTTTTGATATGGAGTTTGAATAGGATTATGGGGTTGGATCTATATGAGTGACTTTTAGAGATAGTGAGCAAGTGAGAATATACGTAGGATTGGTTGTCGGTGAAAAATAGTACATGAAAACATTATAATGTTTAAGTAAGTGAAAATTAAGTGAAAGGTATTGCAATAAAATGCTATGTATATTTTACTATGATTTAGAGGTTTCATATAGTTGTTTTCAGGAAAGTGCAATTATGAGGGAAATTATGGAAGTAGGTTTCTCAAAAATTGGCGTTATTGTCGGGCCTATTGTCCCTGCCCTCAACCTTGAGTTGAATGTTGGAGATCGGTCTGAAGGACACTTGAATGTGAGGTTGGGCTTGGCCCAATCTAAAACAGTTTCATCTTAACTTGATAGTCTTAAAGAGCAAAGAATATGAACTTGATGTTAATAGTAGAGAGCTTAATTGAGCAAGGTTTCATGCGATTGCGAGTATGGGTGGAATGTTTGATTGGGTGAGTGAAAGTCGTGAAGGATTCTCCAGTGTTTGAGTTTGGATAGACATTTAGTCTCGAATGATCCTAGAGTCTCAGCCTCTGTTAGCATTTAGAGAGAATTTCCATAGATTTTTGAGATGTGCTGATTTCTAAGTTGAATGATTCAAAGATGAATTTTGTGGAGCTTGAGACGAGATGTCTTTGAAGTTGGGAGAATCTGAAGAAGATTTCTACAAAGCCATGTGTGAAGCGTCTGACCGACCAACTTTTGACATGGGTTGTTAAACTTGGTTTTATTCTTTGCAAACGATTATAAGGTGATTTTTTTCTCCATTCTGAGATTGAGTCATGAGAGGTTCCTTTGTTATGAGTTTTGGTTGACCAAGGTAGACTTTCTTGGTTTGAGTTGGCACTGTTTCTTGGGATTTCCACATGTTATTCATTAGAAAAGTCTATCAACTCAAATGTTTAAAGTATAATTCAAGGTGTCATAAAGTCATAGTGGTTAACATAGGAATTCTATCTAAAAGTTACATCTATTGGACATGTGACTCTATACAGAAGAGGATGATGAATTATGGATATTTGAAAAACTTTAGTTGAAAATAAAATCATTTGAAAAATTAGAGTTTAAAACTTTTTGTAAAACAAATGAATAAATAAACAGTGGAAAACC